GAGATAAGTCTGCATCTAACACATGTTGCCGGGTAGCCTATTCCCGTAATAATAGCAAAGCCTACGTATTCAATATCGTAGCAGGTCGTTATTAATAACGCCAAAATCCATGCTATACACGCATGGGGAATTTTATCCTGAATCCTAAGTAGGGATAAGTCAATGTCTAACATACGTTACCGGTTAGTCTTTTACCGTGAAAAGGACATCAAAATCCATGCCTCACACGCATGGGGGACTTTATCTCGATCCCTAATTAGAGATAAGCCTACGCCTAATACGCGTTGCCGGTTAGTCCTTTCCCGTGAAAATGACAAAGTCTATGTATTCAAAATCATAGCATCAAGACTAAGAGAGTTCATTCTCTTAGCACAACGTTACATGTGGAACGGACTTAGACAATCCACATGCTAGCCCGACTCAAACGGTAGTCGGTAAAGGCTTATCAAATCCGTTGATGGCTGAGGGTTTGCCAAAAATCCTACGCACATTTGCAGGCCCATCAGCTTAATAGATGTGAGTCGAGACTTAAAACAGATGCGCCAAAGACAAGTCTCAAAGACTTAGTCAAAAATGCACGGAAGCCACTTCCATGTCTTAAGTCAAAACGTTGAGATCAGACCCGCGATGCAAAAACCGAACGCCGAGGTCACACCCGCATTCTAAATTCAACATGCAAGGGTGAAACCCGCATCTCAAGTTCAAAATGCAGGGTCCACCCCCACATTCCAGAAGCAGGATTATGGCGCATACCTTCACACAGGTCCTGCGTGGAAAATCCCTTCAACCAAGCTGCCTTCGAAGCGAGTGCAGAGAACAACTCCTTTGTGACAAGGAATCAACAGCTCCAAGATCAGAGTTGAGATCCAAAGTATTCCGAAAATTCGTCCCAGTCAACCGCGAACTTTCGAAAACTTTGGAGGGGGTTCTGTAGGCTGTCTAAAAATCACAATAGATAGTTGATCCCCCATCAAACACCGATGATGGAAGTTACAATCTGACGACTTCCAGAAGGCTACAATTCGAAGATTTTCACATGTCAAAGAGTTAAAGCAAAGATTACAAAACGACAGTCTTTAGCAATACTCTGACAGAAAGGCGTTGAGATAGCCGATTTTCATATATAATTCGTCCAATTCCGACGTACGGTTTGAAAGTTATGACCTGTTCTTCGTAGCAAGTTATGTTCTGAAGTCCGTCTGCAAGACTGGACTTCGTCAGAACATTGGACTTAGCCTGAAGCTCGCCAAGCCCGCCTAAGGTTCGCCTCTGCATTACAGAGTCAAAGCGCACATGCTCAACTCTGCGTTTTCAACATCTAAACGCAGAGTTAATCTCTAAAATAGCACAACTGTGCGTTTTCAGCCGTTAACAGGCTCAACTCTGCGTTTTCAACATCAAAACACAGAGTTAATCTCTAAAACAGTACGAACTGTGCGTTTTCAGCCTAAAACAGGCTCAACTCTGCGTTTTCAACATCAAAACGCAGAGTTAATCTCTTAAACAGGCCCAACTGTGCGTTCAGCCACCAAAATAGGCCAAACTCTGCGTTTTTAGTTTAAAAACGCAGAGTTCGGGCCCTGAACGCTATTTTTCAGCGTTTGACTCGTTCAAAGCACACAATGAACAGTTTCAGGAACTGTTTTTCCCCTATGATTTGAGGGATTTTCGCCCCACTTAAGAGCGGATTAAGGGGGTAGTTACCACCCTTAATCCCCTATAAATACCAGAAACTCAATTGAGTTGAGTGGATCGAATTTTTTCTCATCGACAAAGGGAGATTCGGTCAAAAGGCTGGCATATTTTGGATCTGGGATTTGGCAGCAACAGAGAGCTTTGGAGATCAACGACTTGAAGGAGCTCTTGAATCATTTTGGAAGGCTTTTAATTGAAGCCTTTGAAATTATTCGGCCTTGGCTTATAGACCAGCAACAGGAGCTTCTTCCTTGGCTTATTAACCGAACTTTCGGTTCAAATCAACTCTTTTTCAAGAGTTCAAACTCGTTCAGAGTTATCAACTCGATCAGAGTTCAAAACTTGCTCTACGAGTTCTTCTAAAACTCGTTCAGAGTTATCAACTCGTCAAGAATTATTTTCAAACTTGCCACGCAAGTTCTCCACAGCGTCAAATCGTGAGTAGAAAATCACGTTCCAGTGAATCAAGACGTTCGGATCGTCAACGAGAAGCAAACTCGACGCGAGCATTCGAGGGAGGCATCTCATCGCCACCGTGAAGAACCCAGAATTAAACAAAGGGGAGAATCAAATTCATTCTTCTCTCTTTTGTAATCGGAATCCAAATTGTAATTGATTTTGAGAGGAATACAAGTCAATTTTTCTTTCATTGTCTTTTTACTGCAAAATTTTCCAACGAACACACTGATACAGTTTTGATGCACATGGATACAGATGATAGGATTTAAAACTCAGCACAAGAGTATATAAGTTTTTATCATGGAAATGAATTAAATAAAGTTTACTATATATATCACAAAAACGCATACCTTACCATAGAAAAATATATAACAGTTGAAACTAGTATTTTATTAAAATACGAACTAAGAAATCCACAATAATTTTTTTTTTGAATTTGACAAGTAAAATGTTTATATTGACATAAAACCTTTTGGGCATGCATAATGCATATTAACAGAACACATAATCTGAATTTAGAAACTAAAGTTTGGCCAAACTTTGCTTAGCACTTCAACACATAACCTAAAGGCAATTAAATAATTGGTAATTTAAATTAGCTAAAACTAAATAAAACAGACAGCACTATAGAAAATATAAATCAAAGAGAAACATCAAACTTCATTCTTGGCTACTGAAATTTACTAGAACTTTATGTAACCAAGAAGTTTGTTTTTTGTTAAATTGTGACTAAGTAGTGTAACTTCTCTACTTATTGATTTATGTTTAGATTATTAATTTAGATATCAATTCTCCTTCTAAATTACTGTTTCTTTGTTCTTGGAAATAAGTGTCTCATCAGCTACATAACCATTGACACTAGATCAGAACTTTCTTTTAACATTGTCAAATCGTTAAACAACACACTTCGAAAAATGCTGGTTGTCTTTGGTATTTTAGGATTTTTTATTATTTAAATAAACTTTATGATGTTGATGCTGGAAATTTAATATTTCTGATCTGTAAATGCCCAACTATTAAAATTACCAATAGCTAAAAGCTCCATGATACATATATTAAAATTATAAATTTTTATATAATAGTTAGTTTGTATATCCAACTTTTTCATATTCACTTTCGTTGATCTAATTTCATCTTAGTTTGCGAAACAAATTGGAAGCATTGATTTGTGTAAAAAATATGAAATTTATAACTATAAGTCTCCTAACTAGCACAACTTTCCCAGGTTATTGGAGCTTTAGAAGTCTTCCTCCACCAAATGAAATCTCGTAATAAGCAATAAATGGCTTGAACATGATAATCTAGCTCGATATCCTTCCTCAAGCCTCCTTATCTAAAAAAATAGATCCACTGAATGCTGTGGTTGACCACTTATTGTAACATAGCATCATGTATTATGGAAAAAAGCATGAAAGAGAGATTAATTGAATGGGTCATTGTGTCCATAATCATTAAATTGATAATAAAGGTTTTCTCAATGCACATCTTTTTGTCGAGTAATCCTTAGAAGTCATGATGCTAGCAGATGGACTAATCTACTTCACTGACTAATCCTTGTAACATGGTCAAACATTATTCACCAGTGACTACGTAATCGAATATACAAGCTATGAGCCTCCTATACATGGGCTACCACACTGTCTTTAAGTGGTTAATCCTTCGCTTAACAATCATCCAGGTATGGGGTCACATTGGCTAATTCCTCATAACATGTTCTACCAGGTTGATTTCCAATGGATAATTCTTGTAACAGCAGTATACACACTGATTTGTGGTCATCTTATAAGTTGTATACACGGCTACACGCTGAGTATGGATCTCATAGTTTTTTGTCTTTGTTGTATGACTCGTCTCATAATTTAATTGTGACTGAAATTACACCACTTCTATTTAGGGTTTGATAGTTGTACCACTTCTATTTAGGGTTCTGGCACAGTTTTCTGTAGGTTCCGCTGAAATCTCTATTAGACTTATGGTTTTTTTGGTTCTTATAAAGTTTCAGAGTTTTCATTTTTCTACTTCTGTTTCTCTTCCATTGCATGTTTAGTTCCCATATTTGCCTATATAGTTGTGCCCTGCATACGTTTGCCAGAAGTATGCATGAACATATATGTTTATGCACACAGACATCTGTATATACATTTACAGTTACACTCAAAGCATAAAGTATCCTGCCCACACATGTGAACGTATTATCAATGCGCACACACACACACAACCATAGTTGCACAGTACACGATACGTAGCGGGTCATGGTACGAAATCGGGGATGCAATTCACCACTTAGAAAATTTGGAGTTGTTAGAGGGTAGCTTGCTTAGGTACACAAGTTCGGTTAGTGGTACGTTGTTATTTTTTTAGGGTGTGCTTATAGTTTTTCAAAGTATATAGTAGAATACTAGTAAGCTAATTATGTATTTAACTATTTTATCATACAAAATACTTAAATACTTCTTTTAGATGGAGTTTGTTTCTTTGGTTTGTTTTTTCCCCCACAAAGCTCGTTTTATGATCATGGTTTCATTCACATTTAATTAACATACATGTTTAGTTACGGTTAAGTCATCGGCTCATACACTCTATTGTGTGTCTCTCTTCACTTAATTACACACATTGCATTGCGTCTTACGCATGTGCACTTAAAGAAACTTTGCATCTAGCATACTTGTGAGTGATACGCTAATTTTGGGGAATCGGTTTATGTATCGGATTGCCCATATTTATACAAATATGACATATTTGTGTGTATAAATACTGATATGAAATTTACGTGGTGCGTGTAGGCACTTCTTTTAATCGAGTGTTTGTATACGTTGTTTTATTAATTGTTTGTTGCATCTAAACAGGCTGGTCTGGTTAGAGAAAAATCATTTGGAACTACAAAAGATAGAATGCTATACATTGAGCAGTGTGCAAATTCGAGGGCTGTAACGATCTTTATCCGTGGTGGTATGTCTATATCCTCTTTTTCCTCTTTGATAGTTGGTGAATATTGGTGTTGCAAGGTTTTCCCTATGCAGCATTACTTTACCCTGATAAAAATAGATATGAATTAGTTTGGGAGTAGTGTACTCATTAGAGAGAATAGATAAATACACATCACTACATGATTCAATATTCCTGGCTAGTAATAACAGGGATGGTGAACCATTTCTCTTGTAATATTTAATAGGTACTGTTATAGCAGGATAATACTCAGTAGGCACTTGAAGGAGATATTAGAAAACATGTTGTAGGTTGTTTTTTTGCTGGAATGAACCAGACCTGTAAGTCTAATTGTTTTTCCTGAGTCCTGAATCCCGAGCCTAGTAACTCAGTGCTGATGGGTAATATTCTTCGAACTCACTGTCGGAAGTCCCCCCCCCCCCCCCTCCCTTTGCTTCAAGTGAACTTTATTCTAATTTAACTTCTCTTTGTCCTCAGTGTTTTTAAGAATTAGTAAGAAGGTCATGAAGTTGCTCTTATGCTTTATTTCGTTCAGCTTGGAAGCTTAAAAGTTTATGCTTTATTTCATTCATCTTAGAGTGGCGGGGTGGTTGGTGTGGTTTTGTTTTGTATTTTTTGTTTGCTTTTTTGGGTTTTTTTTCGTGTTTTTTTGGGGGGTGGGGGGGGTGGGGTGGGGGTGGGGTGGTGCAGTGGGGATGCTTGTCATCATTGAGTTGTTGCCAACTGGTATCCTTCATCTTCTATGGATTTTCAGCTTACTTCTGTTGGGTATAGGGGTTTCTGTTGATGCTTAACCTTGAAACTGTTCTTTTTCTTTTACTCTACTAGGGCTGGGGGTAAAGGCTTTCATCATTTGATAGGCAGGGGGAGAACGTTACCTAGATCTAAATTAGTTCAAAGTTTTACCTTTTATAAAAAACAAAGGCTTTGGTTCAAATAGGATAAATATGTCTCAAATTTGTTTGAGTTATATGTTGAGTTTACAAGTAGACCCATGATGTATATTCAGAGGTAAGTAAGTACATCAGTACATGTATATGTACTGATGTACATATAATATATGTACTGATGCACATATACATGTACATCAGTACGTGTATATGTACTGATGATGTGTATGGTTCGGATAGGACAAAAGCTTTGGTTCAAATAGGATAAAGACGTCTTGATTCAAATTTGTTGAAGTTATATGTTGAGTTTACAAGTAGATCCCTGAAGTCTATTCGTAGGTAAGTATGTACATCAGTACATGTATATGTGTAGTGTGAAATAAGGAAATGGATTGAAACCTAGGAAATAGAGGTTCTCTCTCTCTCTATGATGTGGGTAACTTTTTTTTTTGATGCGGGTCGTGTTATTATTTCTTTTTGTTTTTGTCTTTCGTGTCGTGGTGTGTGCGTAAAGTCGGTGGTGGGGGGGGGGGGTTGCGCGCGCAGATGGGGTGGCGCTATGACTGTCATCTCTTAATTTTATTTCTATTTGTATTCTCTATTTCCTCCTCATTTCCAGCCTCTCCTTGATAAGATACAGGTTGTTGTCGCCTATGTAGCACGGACACGGATCCGACAAGGCCATCCGACACGCCGACACGAGGCAAATCCTAAAAAATACATAGGATACGTGTGTCCAACACATGCGTCTGACACGTACACGGCACGGCTTCACGTTATGCGTGTCCGTGCTTCATAGCCTGTTGCCTGTCCTAACCTAATCTTGCACCTCTTCTTCAAGTCTCACCTACTAGTTGTTGGGCTTTCATTCTTTCAGAGCAAAATAGGGTTAAATCTGCATCTAATGGGTTTACTGCTCAATATGATCTTCATGGGGACGTGGAGAATTATGACCTTACTGTTTTGGTTGTCCTGATAAGGTCCTACTCGGGAAAAATGTTAGCTGCATGATTCATTCTGATGGTTCTAGTTAATGTTTACATGGACTGAGCTGCAGGGACTTTAGGTGGTGGTTTGAGATCCACTAGGAAGTCTTTGCTGTTTGTGGTTCCTTATCCATGAGATGCATCTTGGAATTTCTTTTAAGAGCTGCATATTGTTCCTTATCAGTAAGATGCTTCTTGGCATTTCTCGTTACCAGTCATTTATGCGCGCAGTCCAGGAGCAGTTAACGTTTTAATCAGATTTAAGCGTTGATTAATCGGCTTACGTGGGACTATGCGTTTTTGAATTTTTAATATATATTTGTTATTTACTTATTTATCATATGTTAAAATATATAAAATTCATGAAAAATGGAAAATATACTGAGGGAAAAAACAAAGAATCAACAAGCATGCAATTTGACAATCAATAACTAGCTAACTACTTAAAAGTTTAGTCCTTTAGTCCATACATGAAGTAACTAGATATTCAAGATAATGAGCTAAGTACTTAAAAGTTTGGTCCTTTAGTCCATACATCAAGTAAGTAGATATTCAACTAAAAGTCGTTAACTTAAACACTTAAATTAAAACTAAATATGTGTAGTGAAAAAAATCATCTAGTCTTCCTCATCATCCTCATAACGAAGCTTGGTCAGAGATAGATGCTTCACTGATTCGTTGGAGACAGAAGCTTTGTTGAGGTAAGGAATAACGAGGCCAGTGTTTTTTCACAGCTGCGAAGTTCACTCAAGAGAAGAGAGGAGAGAAAGAGGGGGGGGGGGGGGGGGGAAAATAATGTCTATGATTTTTTATTTTTTTATTAGTTAGTCAGATGGGATGTTGGGGTTAATGGGTTCTTTAAAAAATGTTTCCTCAGAAATGAATCATGTGATTACCTATTAAAAATCCAACTCAACCGATTAAACATGTGTCCGTATAAGTGAGTGCATAGCTCAAATCCAACTCAACCGATTAAGGGGGCGATTAAACGGTCACTTAAACCTTTTTATTAGAACCCTGATATAAACCATTTTGACTGTGTCTATAAGTTCTGTAGATTGAGGCTTCAAGAAGAGATAATTAGGAGAGCAATTATCTAGTTTATCTGAGATGCTTATTAAAGATGGATACACATGTAAATTTGAAAATCTTGTTACTTAATGCACATGTACTAACACTGTTTTAAAAAACATCCGCCTAGTCCGCTTAAGCGTACGCCTAGATCTAGGCGGTACCTAGATCGCCTAACTAGCGCCTAACGCCTAGACGGTATTTAGGCTGCCCACCTAGATTTTACGAGCGTTTAGGGGAGCATTGTTTGCTTACGTAGATTGCACCCTGTAGGCCTTGATTGTGATTTTATGTGTCGTAGCCTACACGTCCTCCAAACTCTATTAACCTCCAAATATGAACATCTCTACTACATCCGACCTTTAGTAAAACCTCATCGACCACCACTTAAATGAAGAAAGAAAAAAAAAAGTCCAGAAACCGCTTAGGCGCCCACCTAGGCGACTAAGCGCTGCGCGCCAAGTCCGACGCCTAGAAGCGCCCAGCGTTTAATGTAACATTGTGTACTAAGCTAACTTACATGTCGTATGGATTCAGAGACTGCTGGTGACTAATCATATTGTTGCCTTGATGATTTAGGTAACAAAATGGTGATTGAGGAAACTAAGAGAAGCGTCCATGATGCACTATGTGTGGCGAGGAATTTGATTCGCAACAATTCTATTGTGTATGGTGGGGGTTCAGCTGAAATCTCTTCCTCTATTGCCGTGGAAGCTGCTGCAGATAAGTATCCTGGGGTTGAGCAGGTGAATAATTGTGTGGTTTTGTCCTCTTTTGTCCAAAGGAAAAAAAAAAGGAGTTTGCAAAGGGAAACTTAACCTTTTCTACCTCTTGCAGTATGCTATCAGGTCCTTTGCTGATGCTTTAGATGCCATTCCAATGGCTTTGGCAGAAAACAGCGGCCTACAACCTATTGATACTTTGACTGCCGTCAAAGCTCAGCAAATCAAGGTAATTGCAAATTATATTTGGTTAGCTTTGTAATTATTGCACGTTTAGTTGATTTACAAGTTGGGTATTCTCCCAAGGGACCTTCTAGCAGAGAGTGGTTTATGTTCCCATGTTACCTTTCCTAAGCTGGGTAAAATCTGTTTGCCCTGCAATGCTTTTATTTGGCACTGCGGTTTGTTTATTTCGCTTGTTCTTCAATTTAGGTAAATGAACCTGACAAGAAAGATGTATTTGAGAGTTTTGTAAAACCAGGAAAAGAACGTAGTGTGGGGAACCATTACCCTAGGAGAACATAATATATTAGGGTTAATTGCGGATATACCCAATTTACTAGTGCCCAATTTCAGATGGACAACCTATAGTTCTATTCTTGTTGATAAAACCCTGACTGACATTTCTCGACTCTCTTACCGTCAAAGAGAGATTATTTTCAACAAATACACCTGTCTGCTGAGGTTAAAAGAGTCAAAAAAATATTTTCACTCGGGGTGTATCTGTAAGTGGGCAATAGTTCACGGTGTTATCTGCAACAATAAGACCACGAGATCTAAATATGCAATTAACCCTAATTACTGCTATTACTATTATTATTCTGAATAATTAGGTAAATAGTTTTGGACCGTGTTTGCAGGACAAAAGTCCGCACTGTGGCATAGATTGCAATGACGTTGGGACAAACGATATGAAAGAGCAGAACGTATTTGAGACGCTGATCGGAAAGCAGCAACAGATATTGCTAGCAACACAGGTCGTTAAAATGATCTTGAAGATTGACGATGTCATAAGCCCATCCGAGTACTGATACAAAATTCTCTTGAGGTTTTATAGTGTTCTCTTAAACTTGTGTTTAAATAGGTTTCACTGGCAGTGCAGTGCTTGCTAATTTTACGACTTAGGAGTGTTGGTGTTTAGTTGTCGGTACCATGCTGTGTGGCTCTTTAATATCATGGGAACTGAAAATTTTTCGTATCTCCGTGATGGGTTGTTGGAGTGAGCTGCTATCCCTGGATCATATTTATACCTCAAGGATAATTTCTATGATTTCTTGGATGTTTTACAAGCTTATTGCTGCGTCATTTTGATTGTCTTGGTTGTAGTGTTTAACTCAGACTGATTTTTGATCGCCCAACGTGGATTTTTCTATCTTGTTTAACTGTTTTGTCTCCTTGCATTCTTTGAAAGGGTGATTTGAGATTTTAAATAAATTCTCATAGCATGATAGTTATGATTTAGTTTTGTTGTGAGTTGGAAGGATGTCCAGTTCATTTGTGTTGCATGTTCAACTTGCAGCCGTTTTGGGTGCAAGTTCCGTATTGTACTTGAAAAATTTTGAGCACGGTGGCAAACACCACACCAATAGAAATCATTTACTACATGGAAAAGAGAGAAAAAGGTGGTATTAAAGAGTATTTCTTGTGCTACAAGTCCTATTCTTATATAGAGTACCTAAGAATTTATTGTGATTGAGAGTCTTTGCAGCAGCGGCTGCATCTCGCGGGTAGCCAGTTTCAAGTTACGACGAAACAATTGTTAGCATGAATCCTTCATCATGTAATCCCAAGAAATATTAACAAAAAAAAAAAAAAACCCAACTTCAATAATGTAATCAGTAAACGGCATAACAGCACTCCTCAACTCACATCAAACCTTAACAACAGGCTTAAAAGAAACAAGCTTCATAAACTTTTCCCAAGCCCTCTCCAGCACAACCACCTCATAACTCCCGGTCTTACCCCCATAATCCCTAGCCTCGATGAAGAGCTTGTACTTGACTCCACCGACGACTTGGGTCTCACCCTTGATCGCTCTGCCGAGCCGGAGCTTGCCGTTAGCCTCCTCGTTGTGCTCCCTCACTGCAAACTCGACGATCTCGGTCACGTGCGGGTCCCCCATGTTCTTGATCGGGGTCCATCCCCCCAATCTCGAAGAGGCAGAGGGGAGACGAGCAAGAACGAAGACGGAAGCGAGGAGAAAAACAAGAACAAAGGAATAATTGGCCCTCATTCTCTCCTCTCTTTTTCTTTGGGTGCGAGTTGTTGATATTCGTGCGGCGTTTATAGGGGCTGGTGTGGTTGGGGTTATCTTATTGTGGGGGATTGAATCCCGGAATCCCTTATGCGGGGAGTTATTTTGGCCGTTGGATGAAGCGGTTTACATGTTTTGGACGGTGGATTTTGGGACGATGTTGGTGTAGTGGTCAAGTATAATTGAGGGAGGGGGTTATGGGGCCTACGTGGTCACGGCGCCGAGAAAAGGGCAGGCGTTATGGGATTTCGGTAGGATTTGGTTGGCTTGTGAAGCGGAAGACGCGTTAATAATGGGTGTTAATTAATAAAAAAAAGGAAATATTTCATAATTTTCATAATAAAATAATGATGTGTAAATCGTGAGTTGTCGCCATATGGGCCTTATCGGGCTTGATCTGTGCAACTCCTACTTTCTAATCGCGCCGTTCAGAGCACTATGGCTCTGTTTGGCAAAACTAGCTGAAAGCTGCGAGATTATAGCTGAAAGCTGTTAAGCTAGCTGAAAGCTGTGAAATTGTAGCTGAAAGTTGTTAGCTGTGTAGCTAGCTGATTGACTAGAGCTGTTTGGCAAAAGTAGCTGTACAACTAGCTTAAGTTTGTTAAATGACTAAAAAGACATGCAATATTATTGATATAAAATTAGAATTATTAGGGGCAAAAACGGAAGACAAAAATTGGCAGCTCCTTCCCAAAGACAAACGCTATTTGAGGTAGCTTTTCAAAAGCTACTTGCAAAAGACACAATATCTAAAATAATTTCCTCCTATTTTTGGTCACCAAACAGCTCTACTAGCTTATTGACCAAGTCAATAAGACACAAGCTCTTAGATAAGACACTTTTTTTGGTTGCCAAACAGTGCCTGAGTGTTGGCTGGGGCTGAAAATCACCTTAGGGGGTAAATAGAATCAAAGTAAAACCTCTAGGAGCTTAACAGATTGAAAGTATAGGTTCAAGGGTTATCTACATAAAGTAAGGCAAAGTTTAGGGGCTTTGGAGAACATCGCCTAAGTACGAGTTGCACAAATTAAAAGCCTCTAATAAGAATGCGGGGTCGTCCGGTGGGTTTTGACCCGACCCGCTTGGCGTACGGGATCCAGCTCAACTGGGTGATTCCACTCCCCTCCACCGCCATCCTGAGTGGAAAGGAGATGAAAAGTAAACCGCTTGGAGTTTTTTTTTTTCGCGCAATCGAATTTCTACAAACAGTTGGCGCCCAAGCGATCTCCGCCCATTTCTTCTTCTTCCTCCTACCCCCCAAATTCAGAGATGGATAGCAGAGAGAAACCTGGGGCAGCGATGGAGCAGCTCATCAGCATGGCTTCTCTCATGAACAAGCCTCCCAGGCCCTCGCAGCCACTGGCCCCAACTCCACCCTCGCCCAAGCCGCCGACTGGATCCTCACCGCCTCCTCCACCCAATCCTCAGCCCGATCTAACCTCAACCGCTTCCTCAAAAGCCCAAAACCCAAGCCCAATCAAATGCCCACTCTCGGACCGGATGCGGCCCAAAACCCTAGCTCAGATCCTGGGCCAAGACCACCTCCTCAGCCCGACCTCCGTCCTCCCCTCCTCCCTCTCCCGCGCCGCCTCCCCTCCCTCATCCTCTGGGGCCCACCTGGCTCCGGCAAGACCTCCATCGCCCGTGCCATCTCCTCCGCCCTCCCTCCCACCGCTTTGTGTCCCTCTCCGCCGTCACCGCCGGCGTCAAGGAAGTCGGGCGCGACGCCGTCGACGCCGCCCGCAGGTCGAAGAGCCCCACCGTCCTCTTCGTCGACGAGATCCATCGCTTCTCAAAATCCCAGCTCGATTCGTTCCTCCCCGCCGTCGAGGACGGATCGATCGTCCTCGTCGGCGCCACCACGGAGAACCCGTCCTTCCATCTCACTACTCCGTTGCTGTCGAGGTCGAGAGTCCTCCCCCTCGACCCTCTCAAACCGAAGGACCTCCGCTCGTTGCTGCAGCGAGCTGTGGAAGATAAAGAGAAGGGAATCGAATTTACCACCGGAACCCCGATGTCCATTGATGACGACGCGATTGGGTTCTTGTCCACGCGCTGCGACGGCGATGCCCGTGTCGCTCTCAACGCTTTGGAGACCGCCTCAACGTTGGCGGTCAACCGAGGCTCGACCAATATAACTATCGATCATGTCAAGGACTCAATGCAATGCAAACATTTGGCCTACGATAAGGATGGAGAGGAGCATTACAACTTGATCAGTGCCCTGCACAAATCAATGAGAGGCAACGATGCGAATGCGGCGATCTACTGGACCCCGCTGCGCTTGGCCAGGCCGTGGCCTGCTACCAGGTGTGGTGAGAACTGTACTATTTTACCCAACGTTAAAAGGGTTGAATGCTGATAGAGTGAGCCCCTTGCTATCCGCAAACTTAACTTGCTATTTTTAAGTAGTTCTAGTGTTGCGTATAGACCCCTTGAGTGAAAATCTATTGTTGCAGATACTAAATAGACGACCTGGGTGAAAATTTTCCTTAAAGAAAATTCACTCGGGTATATATGCAACAACAGAACTACAGAGGATAGTAAGTTTAATTTGGCGACAATACAAGAGTTCTATGGGTCTCCTCTTTAAAATCGCTTTTAAATGTGTATTCACTGACATTTGAATCTGGATTGCTCTGGTAACATATGTTACCAGGCGTGTCATTTTCTTGGGATGCCAGAGTGCGACGTGAACTTGGCTCAGTGTGTGGCATACTTGGCGATGGCGCCAAAGTCGGTGGCAGTGTATAAGGCGTTGGGGGAGGCGAGGAGGACGGTGAGGGAGTCTGGCGGAGGGAATGCAGGGGTGCCGTTGCATCTGAGGAATGCGCCAACGAGGCTGATGAAAGAGCTTGGGTATGGAGAAGGGTATGTTTATACGCCGGAGGATCCAGAGGGGTCGAAGTTGCAGAGTTATCTGCCGCCGGAGTTGCAAGGTAGGAGGTTTCTTCAGTGGTCGCCGGTGAAGGAGAAGGGGACCGACTGAGGTGGACAAAGGATCGTAAACTCCATTTTGGTAAAGGCTTGAGTTTATGCTTTTGTTGAAATGTTGATGATGTTTGTATGGGTTTCTGATATATGCTAGCAGCTACTATCAGAATCTACTCGGTCTCAGGTGATAGACTTCAATGCCTTAAGTAAAGTTATGGGGAGAAAATGTCTGAAGATAACAGTACCAGTTAAAGATAATATCACTGAAAGTACTATCTTAAAATGCTTGTAATTTTCTCTGATCTTAACAACAACAACAACAAATACTTTTTCTACAGATCTTTCAGGCTAAGCTTTCCTTCCAGTTATCAGTAACCAGTAACTCTTCGCTTGGGGTTGAAAGAGTACAGTGTTAAAAGCACCAATGTCAACATGGCATCAGGTGAGCAACTACTCCACCAAGGCTTAATGAACACCATTGGAAGATTGCATTATCATTATAAATAGAAGAATAACTATCACGACGAAATGCTTTATATGGAAACTAAAATCGTTTGGATAAGTTGGAGCCCATGTCGTTCCTACTTCATTTGAAAATTTCACATTCATGAGGATATATGGCTTGGCACCTGCTGGCTTCACTCATTGGCACACATGCCCACTAGCAACACATGAAAACTATGAAACCCTCTCTCAATGATGTAATCTTTTGCATGGATAAAGACTATGAAACCCTCGCCTCTAGTACAAAATTCTTGAATCAGGCTACACCATCTGCTAACCCTAAATTACAAGAATATTATCTTTCTCTCCTCTTTTTAGTTTTTTCTCTAACAATAGAATAATATATATAGAGAAACAAAAACCCTATCTCTAGCCTAACTTCTAAATTAGAATAAATTAGAATAGGATTCAAACTCCTAATCATGATGAGACTCAATCTACTAATTATGATAGATCTCTAACCCTATCTAATTCTCATGAAGTTATACAAAGAATCAAAGACGCAATCCCAACAATCTTCACATTGGATTTGATTCCCAAGCCACATCGATGATCTACCATTGCCGTCTTGAAACTTTGTCTCTCCCGCTAGCGTCTTCTATTCCTTTCTCACTTCAAATCGAAGCACTTGCACTCTAAATCAGACACATGCACTCTAACTAGATGCCCATATGACCCTCACTTTCATCTGTCTCACTGTGGTGCCTCCACCTCTCTTGTGTGCACCAAGAGATCTTCGCCACCTCTGACATTAGAAGTAAATCAATCATACTTCTCCTCCCATATCTGAATCATGACAGTAGTCTTCCCCAACTTGTTGTCCTCATACTCCACCTGCATCGCTCGTCTCGAATCATATCCGTGCATCTCTCCTACTCAACACTACAAGCCAGATGCCTCCATCTCCTCCATCACTTGGCTTGGATCGAATATAAACGCCCATCGTCTTCCATCAGTATGTGTGTCACTCAGTCATATCTGCTTGCAAGCTCCACCTAATCTGGCACCGTCCTTCTCGAGTCTACACACTAATCAACTACTGCTCATGCGATGACTCTGAATAATTATATGCTGACAACTCTACTTCTATAATCCACCGTCCAAAACTTGTAAACCGCTTCATCCAAATTGAGTGCGTGAAAACGAGATACATTTAATGTGATCTGACACACCAACGCTGCTTTAGCTGGGAGCACAAAGCCTGCCTACCAGACACGTGGCTCGCCCGCAACTTTTGACCCCGCTTGTCAACATCCCAAGCTCGCCTATCAACAATGTGAGCTCGCCTGTTAACACTTTGAGCTCACCTACGAGGTTTGAGCTCGCCTGCACTTCATGAGGGCTCACCTGGAGAGCCCAATCCAACCAAGGAGCCCAATGAGCAGTGATCCTCTTCATTCAAAGTGTTTCAGACCACATTCAACCACATTTACGTCTGAATGGTGGTGTCAGTCTCCCCTTCGTGTTGACTCAAATGGCGGTGTCGGTCTCCCTCCAGAGTCTACTCGCCAAGACCCCCTTTACTTCAAAGACCAAGTGGCCGAGACCCCTTCATCGACTCGAAGGGTGGTGTCAGTCTCACGTTTGAAATCGACTCGCCAAAATCTCGGGACGACACCCCGGCAACTAGAGGACCTCGGCGTGTCGGCTCGAAGGGTGGTGTCGGTCTCCCTCCATAAATCGACTCGCCAAGAAGACCTCGAGGCACACCCCTTCATGCAGACTCGAAAAGGGCAGTGGCAGTGCCCTTCGTGTTGACTTGAAGGACGGTGTCGGTCTCCCTCCAGAGTCGACTCGGCCAAGAGCCTGTTGACCCTAGAGGAGGGGGGGGGGGGTGATTTAGGTCTTATGCTAATCTAATTCCAATTAAAAGCTAATTAAAATTATGTTGATCAATTGATCTTGCAAGAAGAAAATATGATATGGATATGAACAAAAAAGATGAATAAAATATACGCTAAGCAAAACACAAACACACGATATGTTTACGAGGTTCGGTCACCACGACCTACGTCCCCGCTCCTCACCTCGAGGAGATATCCACTATCACAATCCGGTTTGGAAGCCGGAACTTCTACACACTCGGTTTACAAGATCACCGAAAACTTTCACACTACACAAACATTATGCAGTCACACTTTACACACTAAGTGTAGGAACCTACCCCGTGTCCTCCTCCTCAAGTGCTCGATTACTACCTCTCCTAGGTTCGTCAATCGACGCCACTCCTATTGGATTTGACCCCGTGTCTCGCCTGACACTTCTCTCGGTGTACAAGTGTATTACAAGTGATTCTCACAAATAAAAGTTAAATACAATGATTTGTTCTCAAATAACAAGTGAGAACACAATGAAGCTCACACTCACTAAATCACATCCCACAACCCACACTATATGGTATGAAAATGTTAAGCTCAATATGTGTGTGAGACAACAGTGAATGAAACTCAATAAATATTGCTAAATGAAATGAAAATGAAATAACAAGCTATATAAGAGTTTAGAAAAACTTCTCAAATAAGAAGAGCAGTAGATGATGATCTCAATAGGATTTAAAAGCCACTTCTTGTTGTAGAAAAACTTCTCTTGAAAACGGATTGATGAAATCAATTTTAAACAGCTCTTAAACACAATTAGTATTTTGTTAAACACCAAACTTGGATTTCTTAGCTCTATAGAAGAAGAGCAGCAATGGGGTATATATAACACCCCAATACAACAGCAAAAACATAAGTAAAAGACAAAAAAAACCAGTTTGAAAACAGCTGTACAAAACTAGCCGTTGGTGAGTTCTGACAGTTCGGCGGTCGACCGGTCCGGTCGACCGCTACGCCCAAAAACTCAAAGAAAAACAATTTAAAGCAGGCGGTCGACCGACGAAAATTTCGATCGACCGGAAAAGTCTCTGGAGTCGAAGGGCAGTGTCAATCTCTAATTGGAGTCAACTTGCCAAGATCTCAGAAGACCTCAGGATGACACCCCTTCATGTTGACTCGAAGGGTGTTGTTAGTCGGCTCCACTCCTCGAAGACAAGTCGTCGAGGGCCTGCTCATCTCAGTCGACCAAGTGGATGACACCCCTTCGTATCGACTCGAAGGGTGGTGTTAATCTCCGACTCAGAGTCGACTCACCAAGATCTCAGGAGATCTCGAGACAACACCCCTTCATGTTGACTCGAAGGGCGGTGTTAGTTTCCTGCTCGAAGTCAGCTCGCCAAGAGATCTCAGGATGATGTCCCTTTGTGTCGACTTAAGGGGTGGTGTCAGTCCCTCACTCGAAGTCGACTCACCAAAAGACCTCGAGACGACTCCCCTTTGCGTCGACTCGAAGGGTGGTGTTAGTCACTAGCTCGAAGTCGACTAGCCAAGAGACCTCGAGACGACACCACTTCGTGTTGACTCAAAGGGCGGTGTCAGTCTCCCGCTCGAAGGTGACTCGCCAAGAGTCCCCTCATCTCGGTCGACTCGGAGTCAAGCACCAGTAGGTAGCCCCGCATGAGTCAAACTCGCTCAGCTTGCTTACACGAGTCAGGGCCCACTCGAGTTGTCCGACTCACCCATACAAGTCAAGTTTGCCAAACCTCGCCTGTTTGGCCGACTCGCCAGCACGAGTCGAGTCGGACCTGCCTGTTTGGCCAACTCGCCAGCACGAAGGCTCGAGCTCGCCTGAAGACCAAGCTCGCTTGACAGCCTGCACCTCGCCTGCACGAACCAAGCTCGCCTGATAGCTAGGAACCCGCCAGCACTGTCAACTGCCCACTTGGAGTATGGGAAAAGTCACATTAACGGTCACATTCCACAGCTAAAGAGCATGGCTCTCTTCACCTAATCTAGGCAAGGCCAGAACTCTCCTAGTAGCCATTGATGGCTACAAGAATAGGGCGGCTGTTAGGCCCCCTAGGTGGTCATATCCCACAGCTAGGAGGCATATTGCTCCTCACCCCTACTAGTAGTCACATCCCACAAATCAAGGGATGACCCATGTCATCCCTTGTCTATTTATAGCTACTTTTAGTCAACGTGAAGGGGGTTGGGCATTTTTATTCGGGAGGCTTGGCATTTTTCATTCTCAAAGCTTTTAGAACAGAGACTTGGGGCAGCTGACTGGCTGATTGTGGATTGATTGGGCATTCTTCATTCTCAAGTCTCTTCAATTAGAGACTTGTTTTGGCTCACTTGCTTGGTAGAACATTCCTATCTACAAGTTTAGATTGTTGAGATAGACTCGATCTGAACTCTCAGATCTGAGGCTCGTTGACTCTTTGCAAACTCTTGCAATCATAGCCCTCTCTAAGCACGGGTAGTCGAACTCAACCACACCGAAGCACGGGGAGTCGAACTCAACCACACCGAAGCTTCTACTGTGTACTGAAGCTCAACCGCAACTTTGATCGGATCGTCCAAGGGAAGCAAATTCAGCTCGAGCACCAAGGAATGCGTCCTACCGCTGTCGACGAACTCACGTTAAACAAGAATGGTCATTCCCTTCTCCTTTGTTGTAAAATATTAATTGTAGTTTGTAATAAGTCATTCTTATAAACACAAACGACCCGTCGAACAGGAAGTCAATTTTTTACACCCAACATATGCTTATTGCTTCCAGGAATTCTTTAGCTATTCGAAAGTTAAAAAATAAGATGTCATCCGAATTTGAGATGAAGGATCTTAGAGAAGCTAAGAAGATATTGAATATGGAGATCGAGAGAGACAGGGTGAAGGGGAGATTGAAGCTTACACAGAGGAGTTACTTACAGAAGATGTTGAAGAAATTCAACTTTGATTACAATGCAAAGGCTGTAGTACTCCATTGGCTCCCCACTTCAAGCTTTCAG